TGACAATGAGTTGGCAACCTTTGTCATTGGACTTGGAAACTTAACTCTGATCAACATTTTTGGAGAAAATCCATCAGAAATGCAAGATATTCTACAGATAGTGGTTCAGGCGTTTATGAGGATGAAACAAGTAAAAATCTTCCCAAGTTGCCTTTTTGTCCATCAGAATGTGGGGGAAGTGACAGCTAAAGATCAAACTATGGAAGGAAGGAGGCAGTTAGAACAGAGACTAGATGAAATGGCAGCAACAGCAGCTGAGCAAGAACAGTGCTTAGATGTAACGCGCTTTGGTGATATCATTAAATTTGATGTCAATACTGATGTCTTCTACTTTGCCCTCCTCTGGGATGGCAATCCCCCAATGGCCCCTCCCAATCCTCGCTACAGCCACAATGTCCAGGATCTGAAAAGGAGAATTCTGGCTGCCAAAGTTTCAGGAACACCAGAGAGGTCATGGCCATGAGCAAATTGGAAACCATGTATAACTACTGGACCTGGCAGCTGAGGAGTCATGTGCTAGATGTGCAGTACCAACTCATCAACCAAATTAAGAATGGGAAAATCCAGAAACTCACAGCAAGCATATTAGAGGCTCCAGTTACTGAAAAATATAAAGCCATCAAGCAAGAACTTGACAAATATTTTAATGAAGATCCAGAGAGTGAAATAATGATTCAGTGGAAAGCAAGTTTTGAAAATAAACTAATACACCTTAAAGAGGCACTTATTTTAGAGAGCAAAAATAAAGCTGAGGAACATATAAGTTATAAAAAGAATCAAGAAATACTGGATAACAAAAAATCAGATTATGAAAGGGAATTATTAGAAAGAAGCCAAAAATTGGCTTTAACTGTAAAAGGCACAGAATTGAGTGACAAAGAGCTTCATGTCAGATTCAGTGAACTTTGGAGAAAATGGGTCTGTGATGTGTCCTCAAGTCCTCCTTCAGTCACAGAGCCAGACATTGATGTGGATTCTGAAAACATCCTTTTGGAATATTTTAAAAAGGAGACAAACATGGTGAATATAATGAAGAAAAACTTTAACAAGGAGTTTGAAATCAATTACAAAAAACATGTCAAAATGAGCAAATGGTTTCACATATATGCAAGTAACTTAGAAGTATATGATAAAGAATCCATAAATAGGACTACTGACTGCATTCTTGCAAGATATAGTGAAACTATTAAAAATCTTCAGAGGCAACAGTGTGATTACAATCCAAGTTATTTCCATGAAATCCTGAGAATAATAGAAGAGGAGGTGAAATCTGCACCCACTGAAGAAAGATACACATTTACAAGTCATTACAAAATTGAATTATCTTTATCTTTATTCCAAAGAGCATCTGAGGATTTTAAGAACATGCATAGGGCATTCAAAAAAGCAAATGACCCTGTAAATTATTTACAAAACAAGAAAGATGATTTCTTCATGAGTTTTAAGATCTCTTGTCAAGGAGCAACTTCAGTCACAGAATTTGTTGATTTTTTATGGCACAAACTCACTCCTGCCGTCTCC